CCCTGGGGAGTACACGTGCCCTATAACAAAACCGAAAATGGACTTCTGGCCTGGCAAGAAACAAAAGTGTGGTAGAGGAAAGAGAATTAGGGTTTCTCCGTCAGAGGCCCTCGCTCCCCACGTGGCCCCTAAGTCATGCCCACACGCTGCCCCGCTCCCACCCAGTTGCCGAGCTCCAGCTCACCCTGTTCAGCCAGCGCCCCCCAATGTCTGAGGGCAGCTCCCTTCCCTGTGCACTGGCCAGCGGCCTCCCCATCACTGAGCACAGCGGAGCTGGTCAGGCCCCCGTGGCCCACAGGCTCCAGGGCGGAAGGGACCTTCCTCGGTGTGGTGCGCAGTGCCGACGCTGCGCCAGGTGTGGCTTCCAGTGAGGACGACTGGGAGAGCAGCTCACCACTCACCGAAGGGCGGGAGGCCTGCAGCAGTTCGACGGCCCAGAGAGGCCGCGTCCAGCCCACGCTCCCTCCCACGCCAGCTCTGCCGGGAATGGTGCCACATCCCCAGGCGCGCCTGGGCTAACCCTGTCCTCCCGTCGTTCTGCATCCATCGGGGACAAACTCTGACCCTGCCTCCCTGCCGAGGCCCAAGTCGGCCTCGCTCCCCTGACGACCAGGGCAGGGCCCAGGTGGCTCCCACGCGTCCACCGGAGGACAGACTTCGGATACTCCTATTCTCAGATGCTCTCCAAGCGGCCTGGCAGGGTGGCGTCTACAGACACGATCTCGCTGTGATGACGGCTTTGGCCTGGTGACTGGGCGGCTCCTGCGTCCTGACCCCCGCAGCGCCCCCACACAGCGAGGCTGCTTGTCTGCATTTGGGTCAGATCTGGACACCTCTTCTCCCGAGTCCATGTCTCTTAGACCAGCTGCTTATGAATTTTTTTTTAAAGAGGTTTTTCTTGTAGGGCATATGTAGTTCGCCAGAGACAGACAGACAGAAAGCGAGAAATCACTCCTTGGGGGTGGGTGGCAGTCCCTTCTCCATTCTCCTCTCAGGATCTTGGGCACACACACATGCGTCCGGCATGAGGTTAAGCTGCTGGGTCTGGGACTTGAACCACAGTCGACTACGTGGGAGTCCAGCGACGTAAACATGACACCATCTGCTGGTCCCAGCTAACCCAAGAATCTCTAAACCAACCTATAACCTGCAACCCCGTTTCCAGAGGTCCTGTCTCTGGGCCAGGCCAGGGAAGACCCCCTCGTGCCGACACGGCTCGGACGTGTCCTGCTCCCAGTGGACCGGGAAGCCTGCTGCCTGGGCTGGTCTCGACGCTGCGCTCTGATTAAACTACGGTAACCACCATTTCCACGGAGCTTCCCTGTCGCATGCACACAGCTCCCACTGTCCTCGCCCAGTGTGGCGCTGCTGAGAAGGCATCCTCAGATTACCTCAGGCCCCCAACAGCTGGCCTGACGGGGACTCTCCTGGGGGACCTGACTCAATCTGGTGAGCCCTGGGAGGGACAGGGCTCTTCCTGGTGACTGAGGGGGTTCTCAGCGCTGCCTGGGAGGACGGAGGGGGCCACATGGAAGGGGCAGAGGGCACGGGGTGCCGGGCAGCCTGGTCCTGAGTCCTGGCACACAGCACAGAGGTAG